GTGTTTCTGTCTGTCTCTGTCTGTGTGTTTCTGTCTGTCTCTGTCTGTGTGTTTCTGTCTGTCTCTGTCTGTGTGTTTCTGTCTGTCTCTGTCTGTGTGTTTCTGTCTGTCTCTGTCTGTGTGTCTCTGTCTGTGTGTTTCTGTCTGTCTCTGTCTGTGTATGTGTTGCGTGCTGCCTGACTGATTCCATCCACTCTGCCAGCGTGACGCTGATGGAGCAGCTAGTCCAGTCCTCCGATCTCTTTGTCATGCAAGTAGAGATGGACGTCTACACAGCTCTTAAGAAGGTACATGGCCGCCCATCCCTGCCCGTGTTCGGACGCTGCCCGGCTGCACACAGTTTTATATGGTGGCTGATGGCACATTTTTCAGGCCTCAGGCAGTGACAGAGAGCTGTATGGTTTTTGTGGGAGCCCCAGCTGACCCCCTGGCATTATCCCCCCCGCAGTGGGTATTCCTCCAGCTCAGCCCATCTTGGAGTGGGCCCATCAAGCAGCTGCTGACTGACGCCGACACCTGGCTCTGCAAACGCCGGGCCGGTGGGTCTGACCGCGCTCTGCCTGATGCCGCTTATATTATTTGTATTTTCCCCAGTTGAAGTGCCTTTGTGTCCCTATTTAGCTGTATTTTTCTGTCTCCCTGTCCTCTTCTGCCCCCTCTTGCCCCCCTAACCCTACTGATACCTTTTTTTCTGCCGTCTTTCTGTCTGTGTTACAGACCTGGGGGAGGAGGAAGCTTTCCTGAGCACCGAGGAGGGGGCCCCCTTTGTCCCCGTGTTCAGACGCGTACGGTTGCAGTACATCATCAACGACCTGACCTCAGCCCGCATACTGGAGCGGGACAATATCCTGCCCCCAGGTAAGTCGCCCCCCCCGCTGCCTTGCCCTGTTCATCTGTAAACGAGAGCATGCGAGCACCAGCAGACCTCAAATCCTGGTCCGGCCATCAGATCCATACATTTAAAAGAAGTTTCAGATTTCAAGTTTTTATTGCCAACTGTTCGAAGGAACACGGTACAATTCTTGCACCTCAATTGCAGGGGGAAGACCGGTGCATGGGGACACAATAGGGAAATAAAACAGTGTAATACAGAACAAACAGCAGAGCAGGAAAAAATACAGTGCAGTATGGGAAGTCCCTGTTTCAGACTACAGAAGTATTATTGTGTTGTTTGAATTAGTAAAAGATCTGCTCTACAGCCATGCATTTGGATGTGAAACATTTTTTTTCTACTGAAATCTATAAATGGACAGTTTGCTCGAAATTCTATTGACTGGTGTCTCTGTTTTGTTGATCTTTGTGTTCCTGTCTCTCCAGAATGGCTCTCTGCTACGTACAAACAGCAGTGGTTTGCCATGCTGCGGACAGAACATGACAGCGACCTGGGGTGAGAGCATTTGGGCACACACACGTCACACCGTAACACGTCCGTCAAAGACCCGTGAGTGGCCCCATCCTTCCGGGCCGGATGCATCCTTGGACATATAATGCCAGAGACACAATTACCACACATTTCTATGGGAAAATTCAAAGCATTAGACTGAGATGGGATCACAGAATTGCATGCAAGGATCACTGAGCACAACTTGAATCAAACATGAGATATTAACGATGAAGGGTGTTAGGCAGGGGTGTCAAACTTCAGTCCTGGGGGGCCGGAGCCCTGTGTAGCTTAATTCTTTCCCTGTTCCACCACAAGAGCTGTGTGGTAATTAGCACAAGGAGTTGAATCAGGCGTGTTAGATGAGGGGAAACCCAAAAATGTGCAGCGCTCTGGCCCCCCAGGACTGGAGTTTGACACCCCTGGTGTAAGGGATTAAATTATTAAATTAATAAGATGTTATATTAAATGACTTCAGTCAAGTTTGTGATAAGAATTTGTAAATCAAATACTTGTATCTTGAAGGATACCTGTATTTAGATAAGCACTCCTCCTTATTTTCCCACAATGCACTTATTTCTACCATGGTAATCCTGAGTGTGTGCGTGCGTGCATGCGTGCGTCCCTCAGACCACAGGAGGCCAACAAAGAAGAGTTTGAGCTGAACAGCATGAGGTGCGGCAGAAAACTGGCCAAAGATGGAGACGTGAGTTGAAAGGGTCATCTGATCCCAGATCAGCACTTCTGCATCCATTATGTGTCTGTGTGTGACTGTGCAGCCATGATCACTGAACAAATATTTATAGAATCCATCAATATCAAAAATCGGATAATATCGGACAATAAAATTTCACTCTTATGAAGCTGGATTTCAGCTGTAGCCTGGAAATTTATTGCATTAACACATCCTGTTAATCTTTAAGTCATAACATGTTAACTACATTACGACTAGTCAAAACTACAATAAGCTATATTTTATGTACAATATTAATAATATTCTATTGAAGCACCGAGCAGACCAAGGAATAGTGGCAGCTGTGAATGAAAACGAGGAGAGATGGACTGACACAAAGCTGTTATTTATGTCACTCCTTAAAGGGACTACACAACGTGTGTGTGTGTATACATATACATATAAATGTAAATATGTGACGTGGCTGAATTTCTGGTCGCAGTACTGCTGGCGCTGGACGGGCTTCAGCTTCGGTTTCGACTTGCTGGTGACTTACACCAACCGCTTCATTGTCTTCAAGAGGAATACCCTGAGTCAGCCATGTGGGGGCGCTGTGAGCCTGCAGCCCCGGCGCCACATAGCCTACCGGTGAGAGCGGCCGATGGGCACCTTCTGTCTGAGCGCGCGGCCCTTACCCCATGTGGCCTCATTCACTGCCCTCCCTCCACAGGCTGCGTCTGGCCTCATTCGACACTAGCGGCAAACTGATCTGCAGCCGCTCCACTGGCTACCAGCTGCTCACGCTGGAGAAAGACCAGGTAACGGCCATTGGCAGGTGGCCAAGAATGCTTAAGGATCTGGGCATCAGAATTTCCCCCATAAAAATGTCCGAATAAATGCATTGCATATTTTCTTCCTTTCTCAGGAGTATGTGGTGATGAACCTAGACAGTCGCTTGTTAACCTTCCCCCTCTACATCTGCTGCAATTTCCTCTACACCTCCCCCCCTTCAGCCAGCCAATCAAGCAGCCCGGAGCCTGACAGCAGCGCCCGTGGTGTGTCTTGACCCCTCCCACCACTTCTGTCTGCACCGCCCCCTGGGCATTCATTGGCTGTCCTACAGCAGGTGACCTTGGAAAGGACATTCATTCACCGTCACACACAATGACTGTCTGCTTTCACCGACGTGGTTACAGGAGAGATTCAATCCAACAAGCCTCTGGGGATTCAAGGCTTCAAACCTGGCAGCTCTTTGTGGGTTCATGCCACACTCTGGCTCTAAGGCTTTAAATAACGTACACTATATCGCTATTAATTTGTAATAACTAATAACTTTATGTTCAGTATGAATACAGCAGCTGTAAATTGTGGTCAGCGTACATACATTTCGGGTTTGTATATTTACGCGGGTTTTATTTTATTATTTTTTTAACCAATATAGCGATAATGTATCCACAGACATAATTTGTCTTCTTGGTGCTGTTATTGGAGGACAGAATTACTTTGTATGACCCTACAGCTCAGGTTAAGCCAAAACAGGTGCTCTCATGTAATGGGGGTGGGGGGGACGTCATTATCTTCTCTTTCCAATATTGTGATCGTAGTCTGTATTTCACAGGCACTGTACTTTGCACAGAACAAGTAAATTCGGCTTTGTCACCGACGTGAGGCTTCCTGTGCTACATCCTCACACTGCTCCGGGGAGGGGGGGGGGCTGCAGGAAGCTAGAATCAGGGTTTGTGTCTTAATAACAAAATCATTTTATATGTCAGCAGATGCTTTTTTTGAAAGGATTGAATCATTTTTCTTCTGTAAAAAGTGACCACTTAGGGGAGGAGCGCTTAGAACCATCTAATAAGAATTTGGTTTGAAGCATAAGCAGATCTAGATCATATTCAGGGGGGCTTCATCGTGGGGAGCCCAACCTCCTCTCTGCAAACATAATCATGGGGGGGTGAGGTCCTGAATAGAGTGTAAGCCGGAACACGCCCCCTCAGACTGAGCGCCGAATCACGCTGCAACGTGGCTAATTTTAGTCGGGGAAACTGCTAAACAATGATCTGCTTAAATTAAAAGCAGTTGGACTCAACAGGGATCCGCACAACTTACCAGAGAACCATGAGCCATGTAGAGTATGTGGGCTGAATCCCCTAAGGGTCAAATCCTAGAATCACCCCTGGTTTGAAGTGCAGAGTAATTTCAGAGTAAGGTTTTGCAATAGACACTCTTGCCTGTAGAGTAACGTTTTTAAAAATCTTACTCCCAGCCCACAGAGGATGCAGAGTTCCGGTCCAGCTGACTGGCGTGACTGAGAGTTTGACACATTACACTATTCCGTCACAGAATGTTTAATGATATTTTTAATATTTGTAGTGCAACACCAAATCTGGGGTAATATAAGCCACATGCCAGTAACACATTCACATTTTCTGGTTGTTTATAAAACCCTTTGGTTTTAATGATTTTGCAATAAATCTGTATTGATCCTTCATTTACCTGCTCAGGGAGTAGGAATAGTCACTGATTTAAATGATGCAGCGTACATCTTAGCAGAAAATACAAATACAGGACTGGAGTGTGTACTTAATTTTATTTCCATTTTACAAAAGAACCAGAAATGTCACAGCTTGGAGAATGTGCTGAGTACCTACAGCTATGGTCAGGATTGTTCTTAAAGCATTATTTTCTCCAAGGCCCAGGGTCAGACCATGTATAGCTGAAGTCTTAATGCCAGGACAGAGTCCACAGATTGTTAACTCATCTAGACCCTCATGGTGAGTTTCTGGATGAGCTCCTCTATATCATCTCTGTCGTTAATGTAACATTGAGGCCCGGCACATGGATAGTGCAGCTTAAAGGGGAGGGTACACCACTTCTCATCCCATTAGAGTGCAAGCATTTGATTCCTCACAGACTCTTGCGGGTCACAGAGATGTTCCTCAATCCCTCCTATCCAGTGCCACCTAGTGCCTCGGAGGTCCAATTACTGGTCAGCCCTCCCCAGCCATGGGACCCTGTCACTGTGGTATAGCCCCCAGGCTGTCCCTCAGACGCCGTGTCATGCTGGGAAGCAGGTTTACATGGTCATCTACACAGCCGCCCACACAACGCTCCATGGCCGCCCGCACTGCTGGCTCCTTGGTCCCAGAGTCAAAGAGGTCCTTGGCCTTGTCGTTGCAGTGCATGGTGCAGCGGGACAGCCGGTCCTGGGCGGGAAGCAGAGTTGGGGTTGGGGTCAGGCTTTATGGGGAAACTCGCATTACATCATTACCAGGAAGTCTATATTTTCGGCAGTTTGCAAAACAATTATTAAAAATTATGCATTTCAAATGACCAAATAATCTTATTCTTCAAGGTGACATTTTGTACTGTTTTCTGGATTTCTGGCTTCCATTGGTTGATGTTTCAGTGTCATATCCAGGTGCTTTCCATGTCTCACAAAGCAATAAGATTCTCCAGTGGGTCCATAGCACCAGAGATCAATGACCCAGCTAGCAGTGAGGGCAGAACCTGAGCTTCTTTGGTTTAACCATTCACTGCACTTTGTGCACCTTAGCCAATCCGCAGCATTTTTGGTGGTGGTTCAGTTTGATGCACTAATCCCAACAACAGGAGAGTGTGAGAGGTGGTTGCTGGCTTTACCTGGAATTTCTCTAGTTCAGTGGTAACTAGGCTCTGGGCCTGTGCCAGGGGGGCATGGCAGCGCTCTATGCATTGGTGAACCTGCTGCATAGACTGTGACGGCTGTTCACAACACTCAGCGCTGCACCGGAACATGCGACCCTGGTCATAGAGAGAGATGCCGTATGAACACAAGCATGGCAACAAATTAAGACCTTTTTGTCTTTAATGTAACATTGAGGCCCAGCACATGGACAGCGTGCTCAGCAAGCTCAGATTATACACACACATAAATAAATATATATAAAATCACATTAATGGAACCATTAACAGAAAAAAAACCTGCACACAAAGAGCCGTTATTTTCTATTTATAACAAAAGGTATGCCCATGTGTAACCAGGAGATTTCGGTTTCCATTCATGTCCCTGAAAGGTATCTCACCTTGAGGCATAAAATACACTACGGTATCATCCTAACAATAAACCATTCACCGGTGAGATCTATACATCGCTGCGAAGTTATAAGCAACACTATATTTAACGTTGACATTTTTTATACAAAAAAAGAATATAGATCAGTGAATAAATATACAGTTTGCCCCTGTACGACTGCACTCACTTGCATTTTACGTATGTGTTCACGTTCCAGACCCTCGACCATACTCTCTACAGCCGTTTGTACCCGAGCTTGCTGCGCTTCTGCCATCTCGGACCCAAGGCGATACCAGAATCAAATTAATTGACAAGCTTACAAAATTAACTGACAACACAGCCTGGCACTCCAGTTACAAACAATAACTTCCAGCGTTTCCTGAAGATCTTGTGCCTGATGTTGTATTTGTCAGATGAGCATTTGTGACTTTTAAGAAATCCGGCTTGTATTCATTCACCAAATAGCTCTTTAATGCCGGTAAGGTCACCTCATCTCAGAAGCATGTCAGCAACAGCAGCCACCACTGTAAAATGAAGGGGATAACCGCACTTCCGCTTCCGGGTCACAGATGGAAAAGAATCCGCTGAATGGTCGTGTTTGTCACACTATACCGTTATGTTATGCATTATTGCTAATATGTCACATGTCAGAACAAGTTTAACACATTTATAATCTAGATGCAAAAAGAGTCGTTTTACATGTTATAGTGTTCCAAATTTCTGTATAAGACAAATCAGATTGGAAAGAAATCTTCCAGCTATACATTTTGTTTGTGCAAGTACTGTGCCCAGTCGTTAAACGCGGCGACGTCTCTATCAGTGGTTCAAGCAGCTGATGTCTGCGTGACACGGTGTGCACAAACGGCACAACTTTGCCTTTACCCTAATTAACAGTGAATACGGAAGTTTTCTTCGTTCAAATACAGAAGTTACTCTTCACCGTTTGTTCTAATAGCTCATCTCGCAGCTGCCTGCTCCCGTGCAAAAGACGGTTTTCTCCCTGGAAATGGTCAGCATCAGTCTTTTGTCGACGCTACCACTTTACTCTTATTAATTGGAAGTTGCTTCTCTAATTAAACTGTAAACTTGCAGGTTGTCGATGTTAATCTGCACAACCTGAGTTTTTTTTTTTTGAGACCGAAGGATTGCAGGGCTCTTCAAATCTGGACCTCGATTCCAAATCCAGGCCTTGTTTTCAGTTATCCCAGGTAGTTAGTGTAACAATTACTTATTCTGATTCGCACCTGACTCACAGGCAAAGGAAGGCTGGAAAATCAGCAGGGCTCGGACCTTGAGGACCGTGATTTGAATAGCCTTGGATTATAGACTTCATACCGACGTAATTTTTATGTGGCAATTGGACCATCCAACACTTTACGCCAGTCGCTTAGCTGTAGCATAAAGTGTTTTAACTTTGCAGTCACGGTTGAATTGCTACACCTGTGGCCTGTACTGCGAAGCGGGGTTACTGGCTTATCGGGGTTACTGGCTTATCGGGGTTACTGGCTTATCGGGGTAACTTGTCGGATTTAAGGTAGTCTGGGCAAAATTTAAGTGAACGAATATGAAGTTCATTTAAATTCTGCAAACACATGCACACGCGTTTACATATATGTAACAGTTTTATTACTTTGTAAATAGTCTGTAAGGTTTCCAAACTGCCTCAACGCTTTTGATGTAGTTAATTTTAGGTTTATAATGGAATAATAGTAGTTTTGCAGTAAGATTCCTTGCGTGAGAGTCTGAAAGCATGAGTGTCACGCCAGGTGCCTGAGAGTTGGCGACTCTGCTGTCCTACTGTAGATGGCGATTTGAGGCACAAAGTTAACGTTTGTAAAAGGGGAGGACGAGTGAGAGCCGGCAAGCTGCGGCGGTCAGACCCGCGGTGCGCATATGGCAGTACCGTCAACCTACGGTGACCAGATAATCCATGTCAGGGAGGACACTTTGAGCTACTTCGGGTTTTACAAACTACTTTCAAATTGAAAGGCTCCTGTGCTCGACTAAATAGTTCAGCTCTTCTTGTGCTTTGACTGGTTTGTTTCCTTGACTGAAAGACTCATCCAGCTGTTTCACATTAGCATTAGTGACACATGAATGATTATAGGAGGCTGACCAATTAGCACACAGCGAGTACTAAAGCTAAAGCGAAATGCAGGTCCTTTTAAATGAAATGGTAATTTACAATTCCTGTCCTAACTCAGTGTCCTCCCTGACATGGTCACCCTACGTGAACCGGGTTTGGGTGCAGCAATAAACTTTTGTTATAACTGAGTAGACTTATTTATCCATTTTTTCCATGCCACCTGTTGATTAAGCACTGGGAATGTAAAAGAATGTATTGATTTAATATATTTCCCCTCTTGTGCTTATGAATAGTCATTTGTTATGATTTGTGTTTCCTCAGACGTTAGTCTTATAAAGTGGGTGCCAACTCAGGATGCTATCGACACTTTTGCCTACCCGGACGCTGCTCTTTCTGGGGCTGTGCTTGACCGGTCGTCGCGGTCTGGCTTCCGCTCCTGAGCTCAGGGAACCGCCCAAAAACATCGGTACGATCCCGCCTGCCACGCTAGCCGCCAGAGCCTGGGTGGTTCATGGGCGATCCAGCACTTGGTTGCCACTAATAATTGCAGTCATTATAATAAATTATAGTTAGCTTTTCAAAATGCTGACTTTGTTTTCTAGAGTTCCTTATATATATATACCAACTTCCTGAATATTGCAATATTATATGATTAACCAACAATAAGTTTATCACTAGGGGTAAATGTTTAACTTGATTAATTACATTCAATTAACTTTTTGTGTGGACTGTGACTGGATACTTGTGCAATATCACTGTTTTCTTGCAGCTGTGATTGGAGCCGGCATTGGTGGTACAGCCACAGCCTATTTCCTTCGTCAGGAGTTTGGTGCGGGGATTAAAATTGACGTGTTTGAGGCTGGGACAGTGGGGGGCCGTCTGGCCACCGTAAAGGTCGGAGATGTGGGCTATGAGACTGGCGGCTCTGTGATCCATCCTCTGAACCTGCACATGAAACACTTTGTGGATACACTGGGTGAGTGAGTGTGACACGTACCTCCGCCTCACACGCACGACTGTGTACCGTCCTGCAAAAGCGTACATATGCATGAGCCGTAAGCTCGCTTCCCCAGGCCTCTCTCCACGCAAGGATGTCCCCTCCAAGATGGCTATCTTTGATGGAGAGCAGCTGATCTTCGAGGAGAGTGACTGGGTCATCGTGAACTTCTTCCGCATGCTGTGGAGATACGGCCTCAATTTCTTGCGCATGCAGATGTGGGTGGAGGGCGTGCTGGACAAGTTCATGAGGTACCAGCTGGGGAGCACACAGTTTATGGGGCCTGAAGGGGTTTTAGAACTTTTACAAGCCTTTTAAACTTTGCTTTGTAGGCTTTAAATGTTCCTTCACTCCAGACCACACGAGGGCGCTGTGAGATATGTAAAGTTTGAAGTCTTTCTGGTCCAAAGTGTGGGATGGAATTGCTTCAGAATTTTTCATTTAGCATAGAGCAGGGCTCCCCAAATATGGCCCTCGATTCCAAATCCAGGCCGTGTTTTCAGTTCTCCCAGGTAGTTAGTTTACTCATTACTGATTCTGATTGGTCAGAGGCTTCACACCTGGCTCACAGGTAAAGGAAGGCTGGAAAATCAGCAGGGCTCGGCTTGTAAGGACCATGATTTGAATAGTCCTGGCATAGAGTGTTTATTGCTGCTCTCTTTATCTTGTCTGATTAACGAAATTACTGGCTAATTATTACTAATGTGCTTCCTACGTGAACTTAGTGAAATGTTCTTTAGGTTCTAATTTATACGAAGACACATCAAAAACATCATATCATCAAGTATTCTCAAATCGAAGCTCCAAGTTATATCTAGACCAGACACAATCTTTTGATTAAACTCAATTACTCGTTTTTTTAAAAGCATTACATTTGCCTTTGCAGTTACTCCACGTAAGGAAGATGGAGTGTAGTGGAGGAGAGTCTAAGTAAAAACAGTGCAGAGCCTCAGTTTGGTGGGAGCACTTCACAATTAAAGTGAATGAAAATGCAACTTAAATATCGCAATGGCACGACTTCAGTGTGACATCTTAGAAGATGACATCCACTGAATAAAATGAGGTTAGCAGTAAATAAATACAAATGATCTCCTTTAGCCTCTCTGAGTAGCCTAGCCTGTCTTTGTCATCACTTAAATTATGTAGCTTAATTTACCTTCCATGATATAATCATCCCTAAAACGAAGGCAGCCCCATCGCTTAGCTGCTTCATCTACATAATACCTAATAGGGTACATAATTAATAATTTATTTTGTGAATGTATTGTGCTTATAAAAATATGGCAGAATGTTATTAGATAAAGTTCACATGGCAATATTTGAGTAGAACCTGCCTGTTAATGGAGTCTATCAAATACGTTGCTGGTGTTGCTGCGAGTCGCCCCAAAAGACACAAAACAATGCTGATGAATCACTGGCTTTTGCTTAACATTGTTTCTGTGGAATCCCACACTGTCTATGGGTGAGTCCCACAGCAAGGACAAGAATGACTGATTGGCTCAGAGAGCACATTCAGAGCTCATGCAAAAGCAGGGGCAGCAAACTTTAGACTGACTTTTAAAAAAAGTTTTTTAGCCTATGTAATTGAAGGAGCCATTATTAAAATTGAAAGGCTCCGTAAGTTTAGTTTCTTGTGACAGGAAAAAATGTAAAAGCGTGACTTTTTTTCTTAACCCAGCTGGTTCTTCCATCACGGTTCTTCCGATGTGACAATTGCATGTGCATCTCCAGGGGTGGTTTCTGCCTCGTGCCAATTGGTACATATATAATGTATGAATATTATATCTTATGTATGTGCATATATTACACATAATTATCGATTAATCGTTCAATGGGTATATAATGCGATTATTAATCGATGTGACAACCTTAGTTTCCCCATTTTCTCTGCTCTGTCCTGTTTACCCAGAATCTACCAGTACCAGCAATATGGCTACTCCTTCACCTCGATGGAAAAACTTCTACATGCAATGGGTGGAGACGAATTCCTCCAGATGGTTAATAAGACCCTGGAGGAGGCCATGCTAAAGGCGGGGTTTTCACAGAGCTTTCTGAACGACATTGTGGTTCCGGTCACACGTGTCAACTACGGGCAGAGTGTCCGCATCAACGCCTTTGTAGGTACGAGGTCAGGACGAGAGCGCAAACACAGCTGTGCACTGACAAGCCGGGATCAGCCGTGGAGAACAGTCTGATTGAATGGCATTCTGTCTAGTCTACTAGACCAGGAAAAAGCGTTAATGGATGTCTGGTTGCTAAGAACTGCAACCTTCTTTACATATTATTTAGGTCACCTTAATTCAAACACACTTTGTTTTCTAATACTGCTTTACAGCTTAATTTGAAATTTTGCAATAGAGGAGCAGACGCCCATGCTGGGGTTGATGGCGGTCTTTTGAGAACGCCCTTTCTTGTAACTGAAGCGTCTTCTCTTCAGATGACCAGTGGTGTCACTGTAGACACTAGTTTCTGTATCATGACTCATCTTACCGGCAGCTTCTCCTTTCTTGGTCAGCTCTGCTATAAACTCTTATTCAGGGCTCTGTCATTTCCTCACCCTCCTCCACTTCAGAGTTTTTGGTAAGTCTGAAAGGCCTCTGACCTGGTGTCAGCCAACTCACTGCATTTAGGCGGAAATTTTGCATGAAAGGAGGTACAGCACGATCAGTTTTGGTTAGATATGACTGTAAGTTACCATTTTATTATATACACTGTATAGACAAAAGTTTTGGGACACCTGGCCATTACACCTACAGGAACTTTTATGACATCCCATTATAAATCCATAGGCATCAATAGAGAAGCGTGATTCGTCACTCCACAGAACACGTTTCCATTTCTCCAGAGCCCAGCGGCGGCCTGCTTTACAGCACTCCATCCAACACCTGGCATCGCGCTTGGTGATGTGAGGCTTGCATGCAGCTGCTCGGCCATGGAAGCTCATTCCATGAAGCTCCCAGTGCACAGTTTTTGTGCTGGAGTTAATGCCAGAAGTAGTTTGGAACCCTGCAGTTATTGAGTCAATAGCGCTTTGGTGACTTTTATGCACTATGCACCTCGGCGACCGTAATTTATTACTTTACGTGGTCTGCCACTTTGCAATAATTTCACTGACCGTGGAATATTTAGCAGGGAAGAAATTTCACAAACTATCTGATTGCAAAGGTGGGATCATATGTCGGTACCAGGCTTGAATTAACTGAGCTCTTTAGAATGACCCGTTCTTTCACAAATGGCCGGGTGCTTGATTTTATACACCTGTGGCGATGGGTCTGAATGAAAGACCTGAATTCAGCGATTGTGACCCAATACTTTTGTCCATGTAGTGTATAAGTAGAGAGAAGTGAGGAGCATGTGCTGCTTACAGTGTATTGCTACACCCACCACCCGACAAACCACCTCAGGGCTGAGAACCTGAGTGCAGCCATGCGGCGGGTGATACCTCAGCACCACACCAGTCCAAATGGACCAGTGTGACTTTTTTTTCTGGTGGCTGGAGTGCCAATCCTGCCACCAACCCCCACATCATTGCAGGTCTGGATGTAGATCAACATCATACCCAGGACAAAGCAATTGCAGGTTAAGGGGCCAATGGGATAGGATCACTCCTGATATTCATAGGATTCGAACCAGCGACCTTCCAATTCCTGGCACAGATCCCTAGCCTCAGAGTCACCATTCCACTCACTAGCACGTCTGATAAATGCATCGTCTTATTCAAATATTTTGATTCAGATATACTGTTAAGTGTTTGATTTCAGAAGAGCATTTTATGGTATTTAATTCGTTTTACATTTACCCCTTCTACGCATTCGTGAGAAGCACATTGCTGAGAGGTCGTGACCTGCTTCTTGCTCCCAGGTGCTGTGTCCCTGGCGGGGGCAGATTCGGGGCTGTGGGCCGTGGACGAGGGGAACAAGTTGGTCTGCTCTGGGCTCCTGTACCACAGCAAAGCCGAGCTGATCTCTGCACGGGTGACGGGTATCACCCGAAAGATGCGGACTTCCAAGGCGGGTGAGTGCCGGAGCGGCAGGCCTTGCCCCAAGCCCCTCTAGGTTAAATTCCCTTGGGGGTGATGATGAGCTCACACGATGTCCCAATAGGTCTCTGGAAAGAGATTCCATGTTGGCTTTTTGTATCGTTATAAGTAATTAGTCATTTAAATAATTACTGTGTCCAGCACAAAAACTATAAAATATAAAGGAAAGCATATTTTGTTTCATGATGTATGTCCCTGCATAATGACATTTGAACATATAAATGCCTTAAATAACTATTAGAATTGGTTGACCTGTTCACCACACTGCATTAGGAGGCCCTACCTTAATTCTCTCTTGGCTCTTTTTCCCCCTCCCTTGCAGGTGGAACAGTGCCTCAATTCGAGGTCAGCTACAATGGGGAGTTTGGCTCCGCCTACTCTTTGTATGACATTGTCATCGTGGCCACGCCTCTCCACCAAGGTCTCTCCCAGATCGCTTTCTCGGGCTTCTCTCCGCCAATCCCTTCTTACTTTCCAGGACGCTACCAGCAGACAGTCAGCACTCTGGTCCACGGCATCCTCAACATGTCATTCCTGGGGAGTACCGAGAGCCCCTCGGACTTCAGGATGTCCGATATCCTCACCAAAGACCATGGCGGTCTGGCTATCAATAGTCTGAGCTCCCTCGACCCAGTCCACATCCCGGACGGCTACGTCCGTCCCCCAGCTAGTGTCAAGAAAGTGTGGAAAGTCTTTTCTCCCCAACCACTTTCGAAGGACCAGCTCAGGCAGATGTTCCTCTCCTGGGACATGGTATCAGAAGAGCCGTGGCTGGCGTACCCCGCCTACAGCCCTCCCCACCGCAAGCCGCCGTTTATCCTGCACGATCACCTGTACTACCTGAACGCAATAGAGTGGGCGGCCAGCGCCATGGAGATGAGTGCCATCGCAGCAAGGAATCTGGCCTTGCTGGCACACCATCGATGGCATGGTCTGCAGGGCAAGGTGGACCAGGAGGACCTGCATAGCAGACTAAGGAGCGAGCTGTAGGTGCAGAGGGGCAGTTGAGGGGGTGGTAAGGATATGCAGGTTGGGGGGGGGGGGGGGGCATAATCTTAGAGACAAACAGTGCCTTGCAATTATTCAGGGATGAGCCACCTTCATCCATGAGGAGGGCTGCATTTGGGGCAGTGGTCTATTTCATTGTTTGAAGGGTAGTTTAATTGTACCCATTCGGCAATAACAAGTATTTTTCAGGGTAATGTAATAGTGTCCTTACACAACAAGGGTTCAAGACACCCGTAGCTGAAACAATCAACCGTGTCTTTTTAGCAGAATGATTTCAGCGTCGGTTTTGCGAATGCGTCATTTCTGAAAGGGGAGAGCAGTTTGGTCTGGACCAGTCTGGTTGTTTACATTAAAAATCTCCTACAGATTTAAGTTAAGTTTCCTCTTTCATGTACTTGAAGTAAAATGGATGGGAAAGAGACCCAGTAACCCCGGGCCTCTGTGAAGGCTCTTCTTCCCACGGACTTCTCAGGCAGATAGTGTCCTGCTCCATCAGTACAGAGCGTCTCTGATTTCGCTGCGATTTTCTCAAATGTGTAATTCCATAAAAAAAAATAAATGGTGGTGTAATACTAATTTTAGTACTTATTAGATAAGATGAACCTTATTAATCCCGGGGGAAATTCTTGATATATGCAGCAGAAACCTGGTTTAAAATAATAGCGTTAAACTTTTGGTGACATGTGCCAGGTTGAGGAAGTGACCCTCTGATCTTCATCCGCATCCTTACTAATAGCATGAGCCTTCTGACCGATTGCACAGTGGGCCTCAGGCTGAGCCGCCGCTAAAGTGGCAGCCCCCCCCCTCGGCCTGGATCCTCCCTGCTGCTTTGATCTCCAGCGTGCTTATGGGGGGGGGGCTGCAGCAGTCACGTAGCGCTAATGAAGCCCATTACTACGACCCAGTTTACTGCACTCACCATTGCATACTGGTTTCCGCGTGTGTCAATAAAACAGGTCTGTTCACATGGTGCTTGACATGTTTGTTCTTTTCATCAGCGATTCGGTACCTGCGCTGCTGCTTGGGAGGGTGATGGAAAAGATTTGAGGTGGACATCGATATTTTGCTGTTTGGAGGTAGCGTGATACACAGAATAGTTTGCATTCGTTGGTTGTCTTATGAAAGCACAGGGTAAACTAAGCAAGTAGTGGAAGTAATTAGCTTATGCACCCATTTTCATTAGCCACTTATCTAGTGTGTCATAGGGCTCACTGATGCATTATGGGTAATTTGGATATACCAGCTCACCTAAAAACACTTAACCAGAGTATCAAGGGTGCAGATCTATAGCCCAGAGTCTGCAGTCCCAGATATTAATATGCAGATGGACTTTTTTGATCCCTGGGGATGTTCCATGGTGTGTGGATGGTCACTCACAAGAAACACAGACAGACGCCACCCCCAGTGAGTCAGTCTAGTTTATTAAATATCTTCCAAGTGTTGCGGGGGTCGTACGATCCCTCACAAACGCTAACAGTCCGTAACGCTGTCACATCTGCTAGTGATGTTCCTGCCTTTCTTTTCAAGATCAGCGTTTTTTTCCACTCCTCGTGACATTAAATTATGAAGTGAAGGCTGTTTTTTTTTTTTTTTGCCTCCCCCAAAAAAGGAATATACAACCGTGTACTTAACATGTACCTAACACACTTAACACATACATCATCAACACTCTGGAGCTGTTAACAAGCAGCAAAGGAACAGCGTGTTCTGAAATGGGGGCCATGACCGTTACAGTATTACAAAGACAGTAAAAGAGGGACAGAGGCCCTGGGGACATCTGACACTGCGGCCACCACAAGGTAACAGGAGCTTCATCTGTAACCTCCACCCTACAGCACAGGTCGCCGATGCTTTAAGGCGAATCAAAAGAACTGCCTTTGTTTCAGCTTTGCTCAAACGCAAACAGTGTTGCTCAGCTGGGCTTAACCTCCTCCTGCAAGAGCAAAGATGTATGAAAGTAGATACTTCTCTGTCCGAAGGTCGGAGCCCACAAACCTCCTCTTTTTGTTTAATCAGACGCAGCATAAAAATTCTCTTACGGTAAACGGACTTCCTCTGTTTCTGTATCTCACAGTGGCAAAACATAACATGAAGTATTCTGTCTCCATCCCAGAGAAACGTCAACAACACTGCGGATTCCCCTGCTAGGCAAATCATTTCTGCTTCGCTGCCCATTTGGTGGGGCTGGGGGTGAGGTCCAAACAGCTCACGTTCCTGGACACAGACCAAGGTGATGAGTTTGGTCCATTGGCTGTATGGTCTGCGGTGTTCCGGAATGTGGAGGTTCGAGTCAGGCAGGTCTCCAGCCCAAGCCCATCCTCTAGATGCTCAGGTTGGAGATGAGCTGCTCCATCCGCTTGATCTTGCGCCTGTTCTTGGGCATGGGCTTCTCGTACCTGCCCGTCCTCAGCAGCTGCTCTTTGCTGTGGTGCACCTGGGCGCCGTGCTGCAGCTGGAAGGTGCACAGAGCCTGCAGCGGCCGCAAGAGTTGCTGTGGGGAAGGGCGCAGGGTTTAAAGGTCAAAGGTCACTTTCCACACCATGTGTCTCAAGCAAGTCACTGCCAAGGAAATGCTCAGAACACATCTGCCCCCCTCCCAAACTGATATCACTACTGGGATATTTCTGATGTGCATATTATGCATTTTTCCAATATATACCCTACTTTTAAGGGTTTCACATCTAAGTTCTTTACATTACCAATATTCATCAATCCATCCATTTTCTGAAACCTCATCCTATTCAGGGTCGGGGGGGGGGGGGCTACAGATGCAAGGCAGGGAACAACCAAGGATGGGGCGCCAATCCATCACAGGGCACACTAACACACCCACCAGTCACTCACAAATTAGCTTCAGGATGTGGACTGTTGAGGGAGACTGGAGTACCCGGAGGAAACCCCACGACGACACGAGGAGAACATGCAAACTCCACACTCATGGAACCATGTCTGAGACTCGAACCCTGCTAACCACTGCACCGCCCCACTACCAACATTTTGTCTGTGAATTTGTGGAAGGCTTATTGGTCAATTTTTTTGTATATCTTTTTTTGGGCTGCATAACACCTCACAGTGTGACCACGACTAACAGAAACAGAAGCTGAAGCCTTTAGCAGACAGAAACAACACCGGGCCTGTGTGCTGCACACCTCCTGTATGGCCGGTCTCCTCTCCACGATGGACAGCGCTGCAGCAGCACACTCCAGCGTGGACAGGCACATGTTGGTGGGTTGTGTGCGGATCACGTACTGGCTGGACAGAGTGTTTCTCAGCTGCACCTGCAGGCAAAGGCGGGCACTGCGCTCACATCATGTTTCTCGTAAACTCATCCAATGAAAAGCCACCGGCTCGCAACAATCATTAAAGTACTAAGCCTAGAAGCACAAAGTTAAGGTCTGAACTCTGTCTTTAGCACATGACAGGAGTTTCTAATGGTGAAGCCCCAAGAAATCATAGAAACACAGTGCAACCCTAGAAGGTTAGGTTTACCTACACTTACACTGTGTGCATATACTTTATGCTTCTATGGGACGAGACCTGGAGTATCTGGTGTTATGGTATCGGTCTGGCTGGATGAATCATGGGGGTGGTGGGTGGGTTGCGGAAGAGGCCGTGGAAGGTTTGAATGTTTCCAGTTCCAAATCCTCAAGTCAAGTCACTCATTTGGCTAATTTTTGATTTGTAGGTTTGGGGAAAGAAACCCTAGATTACAGTAATTATTATTGTTAGAGAATGTAAAAAATCTGTACGAATACATTCTCTCTTATTTGGGTGGCATTTTTTTACACAGCATATTATGGCTCTACAAATACCCTTTCAGGCCAAAAGAGGCTCCATACTCTTTGGACGTTCATTCACATTCACTTTTCGAAAAAGGAAACTGTAGCAACCTTATGTACTGACGAAAAGGACAAACCATAATTTGCGTGACCTAAAATGCTGTAATCCAGAAGGACAGGCACTTCTACAGCTTTCTTCTGTTCTGGAACCTGTTAATATGTAGCCTCACTACCATCAAAATGCGTGATTAAAAACACGTGATGAGAAACGGGGGCGGGCGGGGGGTGCACTTTTCTTCTGGGCCGAGTGTTGAGACATAAACATAGAGGTTCAGGAATGGGGACCTGAATGGGCGTCTGTGCGAGAGGCCGCATAAACAGCCGCAAATGGTGGTCGCTCCGGCTGCCAGACTGTGCTCGCGGATCCTCTGAGCTCATCGGCGTGCTCTTCAGATCGGCCTAATACCCAGCATGTGTGTATAGCATGCCAGGGCAGACACGAAAATGGTTTTCCTATTTGATTCGAGTCACATTGTGGGTCTGGAGTGTGTAATAGACTGTCTCTTTTTAAGGTGATATGAGTTTTTAATTAAAGCAAAGTACAGCGAGGACTTGACCGAGTGAAAGCTCTCAATTTTATTGGCCTACTAGGGCGAGACACCGTAACTGCATATTTAATCGAAACTGAGTTATGACTGAAATTAGGTCTTTTAGGTTTTATCTTCTGACAAAATGTTTCAGTTCAACTGCATGGCTTTGAAGAAAACTCACAGTAACTGTGTTTTGATCCTGTTGGGAAGTTTAGCAAGATGTCAAATGAGGTGGCTGTTTGACACGGGAGCTAGTATCTACAGAAGGGATGACCACGGTGTTTTCAGGGTAGGGGTGGGAGAAAAATAAGATGGGGGACATCCAAAGAGAAAAAATGAAGACTGACCTCTTTCTGTTATGCATATAAAAAAAGATAGCATTCTTAAATTACACAATTATGACTCTGTCTGGTTGTTCATGCTTTTTTCCAGAAAAAGGAAAATATATTCCACTAATGTTTTCTAATTGTTGACTAAACACAAATCCGACACTCGCAACCTCATAATTTTGTTTTATTTTTGCAGTTCGCTCTGCACTGTCTTTCATTAATATGCGTACAGCGGAACGGTCGGGACTCGGACTCCAAACAGCTGTGTTCTGCAGTTTGCGTCTCTGCTGCTAAGTAGCCTAATGAACTCCTCCGTATCTCAGACATCCTGTGTCATGTCGCATTTGCTATTCTTTTCCCGCAGTGATGATGAGATTCTGCAAAGCTCACGTAAGGCTTAGTTCAATCAAAGTGATTGCGGAACAATGAAAATACTATTAGGATACATCTACCAGTGGAATTCCACAGTCACGTTGAAAAGTGGGCAGTTACGCTACTAGGAATCCAGATCATAAGACTTTTATGAAAGCCAAAGTAACGTAGAGGAAAAAGTAAAATTTCCATGAGTTGCGTGAGGGTTGCCTGTGAAAGCCCTTGTTGGAGGGTTTGCCTATGACAGCCCATGTTGAAGGGTTTGCCTGTGAAAGCCCTTGTTGAAGGGTTTGCCTGTGAAAGCCCTTGTTGAAGGGTTTGCCTGTGAAAGCTCATGTTGGAGGGTTTGCCTGTGAAAGCTCATGTTGGAGGGATTGCCTGTGAAAGNACCCACCTGTTTTGGCAGGCGGAAAAGGGCGTTTCGGAGGAACATGTCTCTGGCCTGACTCCACGTTCCGTCGATAATGATGATGTTGTGCGCCGAGGTCGAGGGCTCCTTCTCCATGTCCTCCAGGTTCTCCGCATCCAGGCCAGGGTACAGAACCAGCGTGTGGGGGTCGCGACACACCGCGGCCAGCTCGGGGTTCCTGTCATGCAGCCCGGGGATAAAACAATGTAATGTGCCTGATGGAAAGCTTGCTTTTGGGTGAAACAGAATTAAGTTACCCTCTCCCAAAAAGTACAAGATTACTGGCATTTCAGTAACGATATAGACTGATTATCCATCCATCCATTTTTTGTAACCACTTGTCCTATTCAGGGTCGGGGGGGTCCGGAGTCTATCCCAGAGGCTACAAGCACAAGGCATATCAACTGATTTATGACTTTTTAATTTAATTTTTATTTCTTATCTTCCAGCGCTAAGAGGCTTGTTTTCCTGCTTATCCTCTCATCGAACACATTTTATTGTAATGTTGACCCTGTGTTAACATACATATGACAAATAAATTGAAACTTGAAACTCAAACTGGTTACACAAAATCAAATGTAACAATGGCTCCCATAGAGACACTAACACAAGTCTTTTGTAGCAAGCAGCGTCTCCCAGTGAGGGTCACAGGAGGCCTGGAGCACATCACAGGCAGCGTAGGGCATGAAGCTGGGGTGCTAGTCCATTCCAGGGAACATGCACACACACATAATATTAGCAATTTGGAGGTGCTGATTAGCCTAACTGCATGTCTTTGGAGTACCCGAAGAAAACGGGTGTGACATGGGAAGAACACGCAAACTCCATTCACACGGAGCAGAGGGAGAATTCAAGCTCAAAGCCCTGGAGGTGTGTAGCAGCTGTCCACGGATCCTGTGACACAACTGGATACAAACCCTAAATCAAACCAAGATGCTCAAACACTTGCAAATGCAGCAATTTAGCACCATATCCTGGTTAGGGATGGGGCCGATCCGATCCAGTATCGGTATCGGGTTCCGATACCAGCTTAATTAACGGATCGGAAATTTCCGATCCAGAGTTATGTCTACAATGCTGTCTGCTGAAATGACTTCACAAGTGATCCCGGGCTAGGTGACGTGTCCGTGCTCCAATGAGACACTGAGAGAGATGACACGCCTCCTTTCAGGAAATCCTCTGCAGTTTGCAGGTAGCAGTTTAGCATTAAGCGCCATACAACATGTCCGCTGTGTGGAAACATTTTACGGTCGAAACGCCGCAAAGTAAGACAGCAACATGCAATGTTTGCAAAGCCGTTCCGAGAGGTGGAACCTCCGTCACGACGTTCAACACTACAGATATAATTAATAATTGCACTAGTATCTAGTAATCCTGTCTTGAAATTTAAATAAATATCCATTTAAACCCTTAAAGTTGCATATTTGTTTTCAGGATGGGATTTCTGCCGTTTTCTGACCTCATACATAGACTTGCTTGTAGAGAAGTTTATTACAGCCTCATAAAATCAACAATAATGATAATAATCATAGAGATATTAAAGCAAATAGAGCTCTGGTATCGGAATAGTATCGGTATCGGCAGATATCCAAATTCAGGTATCGGAATCGGATCGGAAGTGAAAAAATGTGGATCAGTGCATCCCTAGTCCTGGTGAGTGAGTAGATGGAAGAACAGTAGATCTCTGGGTCTTACAGTACGTAAAATGTGTCCACCTACCTTTCTTCACTAAACCTCCTTCCAACTAGAACCTTGCACTTCCCGGGGGGCAGTGAAGCAGCTAAAAGTGGAACTGTCCGAAGTGCCCGACTCTCCTGGGGAGAAATGCAGAGGCGTGGATGTTTGCTCATCAATCACTGGATGGATCATGGCAGACGCAATAAAAAGGTCATGCTAGTGCAGTGTGCATTACGACCCCTTACATGACGGTGGTCTGCTCACCTCTGCTGGATGCTGCACAATGTACAGGCATGTGGACACCTCTAGGGGGCGCGCCGGCAGAAAGGGACACAGGCACACTTTTTGCGGTCGCCTTGAGTGAAGGGAGGAGTAAAAATGACTTGTATTCCAATATCACTTTTGTGCAGTTTTAAGGTGAAACCTTTGTGTAATGGCATAGCAAACACTATATCCAGTGAACAAATGGAGATTTTACATACTAAGATTATACAATTCCTTGGTGAGACCTCACCTGGAATATTGTGTGCAGGTTTGGTCACCATATCTTAAAAAGGACAT